ACCGCACGTTTGAAATAATTATTTATTGTGGCTTTCGCCACATTTTTATTTAAAAAATGTTAAGAAACTGTCCGGCCGGTCGGATACCGGATAGCAACTCATATCCGGTATCCGGTCGAACGGTAAATTTGGGCCGGATAGCTACCGTATATCCGTTACGTCTTTAGTACAAACCATGATCAGCCGAATCTCTAGGCAAAAATGGCCTGGGTGGACTCTAACAAGTTTGTTTTATTTAAGAAAGTAGGATATATTTAACACCGTCGGAACTCCAACTGACTGAAATCGCTCTTTGAGGAGGGGGAGGAAATTATTTTTCATGTTCTCTATAACTGTCCAGGACTTTCCAAAGGCTGTCTTTCTTCGACGAACTATGTGAGGTGGCGGACACATATTTAAAATAACTGAGATATACGTTGGGGACGCGTAACTGGATCAGCAAGGGATACCAAAACGGAAGCATAAGCCACCGCCAGACGGACGATAATTGGGTAGAACTAGCGAATTCACATAGCCCACAACCACAAAGCCGACAGCGTAGTTTACATACATACTTTGGTTTTTAATGGCATCCTAAAGTGACACCCTAATACATACATATATACGCATAAATTTGCCTCAAATTTGCATTAAGCAAAACGCGCTGACAGCCGCTAAGTATAAATGTCAAATAGCGGTTTAGCTGCTTAACATGAATTTGTGATTTAAATGCCCTAAAGGATTCGCAGGATAGTAGGCATTGAGGCTCTAAAATTCAACCACACACTCTCACATGAGAGCACATACTTACATAAGTACATACATATGTTTATTGGTAGGCATCAGCGGACAGTTTGCAACAGACTGAAAGACATGGATTTGATGATTTCAAAATTCAAATTCAAATGATAGCCTGCTTTAGCGACGTAATCATATGGCGGCCGTGGGTGTACAAATATGTACATATTTTGGTGTTTGTATGTTGTTGATATGCTTAGATACTGTGCGTGTATTTGCCTGTTGAATTGCTTGTGAGCATAGCATTAGGACATCAATTGAACCGGCCCATTTGTTGTGAATGCCTTGAATTGATTCCGCAACACATTTACCATTCAAATCATATTTGTAAATGAATGGTGGACAAGAAGGTACACAAACAAACATGCATTCATATGGGCATACATACATATATGAATACATACTTACATACCCTGTGGGGAAAATCTCTAGTTCTGAACTGGGGCGCTTCTAGTACATTTAGACCCAGTACTGGTTCGCGATAAATCTCTTTTGCTTGCAAGCAACTGGCGAATTTAACATGGCGATGTCCTAGGAAGTGTCAATTGCTCCCCGCTGCATCTCTTTTTCGATAGTTCCGAACTAGTCCTAAATTCTATAGTTCAGAACCAGTTCTAAAATCGACAGACGAAAGAAAAAAGTATCATGATTTTTCAACCTTTCAGTTCTGTCGTGTGCGATTTTACATTATTTTCAAAGAAACGTTTTTTTTCAATTTGAAATTAAATTTGTTTGAATGATTGTAAGAAATGTACGTTTACATACCTTGCTGTAGCTGACTTTGCAGAGGGGCTCGCTGTTAATGGTTAGATTCCAGACGGCCCCAACATGTTAATATGTTAACACAAAGCTTTGTTTTGTATTACCAAACTATGAAATAGCATCTGCGAAGCGCAGAATAGAAGCGTATTTGAACGAAAAAGCCGCCGAACACATATCTAACCTGTAGGGAAACGAACTACTGCGGAACTGGTTTGGTTCTAGTGTGTTTGGAACCATGACTAGTACGCGTTAATTCTCTTTTGTATGCTAGCGACTGGCGAATTTAACATGACGATGTCCTAGGAAGTGTCAATTGTCCCCCGTTGCATCCCTTTGGCTCTAGTTCCGAACCAGTTCTAAAATCGACAGATAAGATCTAGTTCGTTTTGCATCCCTTTTTCTATAGTTCCGAACCAGTTCCAAATTCGACAGATGAGATCTAGTTCGTTCCGTATCCCCTTTTCTTTAGTTCCAAACCAGTTCCTAATTCGACAGATGAGATCTAGTTCGATCTGCATCCATTTTTTATAGTTCCCAACCTGTTATAAATTCGTCACCTTAGATCTATATTTCTAATCAAGCTTGTCGAAACATTTCCCGTTTATATTAATTACGATCGGTTGAAGGAAGGACAATACCATCACAAATGTTTGTACGCATTTATTAAAAATTTATAAACCACATTAGTAGTAGTAGTAGTATTAAACCCAAGTAGTAAGTAAAAAACAAAAGTGTATTCTGCTTAAAAGTAAAAATATTAGTGCACTTTGTCTTACTTGTCTAAATTTAAGCATATTGATTTTTAAGTAAATTCAGTTATTTTTAAGCTTATATGTCTGTGTTCGTATGGAAAAGTAGCTTATGTCGAAAGGTTGGCTTTAGTAAAAATCGGCATTCGCAGCATACGATTGCGAATGACTTACGGGCGCTAAGCCGTTAAACAACTTTTAGCAAATAAACGTGCAAGAAATAGTTCCGATACTAGCAAGTCAATATTCTTTTTAAGTCTCATCAAAAAATTCCTTGTCGTTTAAAAAATAAAGGGAATGCCGCATTATACTAAAGCCGGCCTTTCGACATAAGCTACTTTTCCATACGAACACAGATGTATATGAGTTACTTCGAAAGTTTTTGTCGTACTTAAATAAGATATACAGTCAGTCAATAAAGTTTAGGTACAGGGAAGTTTTTACAATACCGGCAACTATTTTTTAAATATTTTATTTTTCCCTAATTTTTTATAAAAATATGGTTAGTTCTACTCCAAAAACCCCAAA